AACATACAATCTACTCTTCAAGGGCCCGATAGTATGTGGTTCCTGTGGGGACAGACCAGGTTTAGGAGGTTAATGAATATTTTCATATAACCTGTAAAGTGCACAAAGCAGGCCTCTTAAAAAGATAGATTTCTACTCTAATTCCTTCTATAACATTGAAAAGATCTCAGAATGAACTCAACGGCAACTGTCAACAACCAAACAAGCCTTTTAAAAAAAATTCATTTTATTGGGAGCTCGTACAACTCTTATCACAATCCACACATACATCCATTGTGTCAAGCACATTTGTACATTCGTTGCCCTCATCATTCTCAAAACATTTGCTTTCTACTTGAGCCCTTGGTATCAGCTCCTCATGCCAACAAACAATCCTTGAACTGACTACAAGCTTTTCTTTCTTGTGTTTTGTTTTGAGTTTTTTTGACATTGGTTTGTTGTTGTTGCTGTTTTGCTGTACATCGCCGCCCGGCCCTGCTCTGTCCTGTTTCCACGCATGTTGTTGTCTCCGCAGGTCTGTCTGGACAGGACAGGCCGGACGAACAATCTCTGCCTTGGCTGGAGAGGTAGGGTTAGGCTGTGTTCCGAAGGATGAGATGTTTGTCACGTAATGCATTAGGGTGGGGTGCGCTCCCTAAACCTCCAGCCGGACTCGGGTCACAGTGTTGACAAGGGCAGGGGAGGATCCCTGGGGCGTGGCCTGCAGCACCTGTGACACTTACTGGCCTCCTTTCTAAGGAGTGTTCTGCAGGCATTCCCTCATCCCTGATAAGTTCCTCCTGGGAGAACACGGCACGTTTGAGGTTCTTTGACAGCACCATGATCCCATGGACATTCTCCCCCATTAGTTGTCTCAGCCCAGCTTGGTGGTCCACGTGGAGAGAGGGGGGAGGAAAGGAGGGCAAGGGAACAAGGGAGAGGGGGCAGAGAGGGGAGTGACCAGGGAGTGAGCAGCAAGGAGGTCAGAGACGGAGCTGGTTTTTATAGCAGCATTTCTCAGGTAAATTAGGCTCTTGTACAGTTTGGGCTTGTAATTATTAATTGATTTGGTATAGTCGCAGAACTCTGTGAAATAGAAGAGCTTCATATATTTGTCCTTTATACACACACACACACACACACACACACACACGGGGTGGGGGGTGTGAGTCTTCAAAAAGATTGAAAAAATTACGTGATCTTTCTATTCCATTTTCCCATGAACTTTTTTGAAGCCCGCTGATATATATATCGATAGAGCATTTTCAAAATAAGGTTTTTGTACTCTTTTTTGAAATCACCCCGCTGGAGATTTTTCACTTCTTCTAATAGTGCTACTTGATGTGTCACACCAACCTCCTCCTACTCATTCCCACTAAGGAGAAGCAGACTCCAAGAATGGAGGGTTCTCAGAAACATTTTCTTGGTCATGGTTGGGCGTGGTGGGTGCCAATTTCATCAGCGTCCTGTCAGAAAGTCTTCGTTTTTAGCTTTGAAGCATGAGAAGAAAGAGTGCTAAGTGGGTCCCCTTTCCACACTTCCGTCCCTCTGCTCTTCCTGCACCCTCGGGCTCTGAGAGCTCCCCAAGACCAGCGAAGGCCAGTGGGTTGATGGCACAGGAGTCCATGTACATATGTCTCCATTGAAGGATGATTCACATTCAATAAGAAAGCATTTCACCTCAACAACATCAATGGAATAAAATGTCAAAAGAAACAATATTTCATGGTGAGATTTGCAGTGTCCACAATTAAATAAGTGCAGCATTGTTTTTTAAATCTTAACCACTTTACTGACATGTAATCCACACATTCCGTATTTGAGACAAATGAAAAGAGTGGTGCCGTCATCACACCATCAACTTTAGATGTTCTTCTTTCTTGT